GGAGAGAGGCATAATAAATCCACTGCCGTGAGAGGCAGTAACTAGCGCTGTCCACACCGGTGCTTGGGTCAGTGTAACTTATGTCGCTCAGGAGGGTGGCTTATTCACACCCCTGAGTGATGTAAGTTATACCGAAGTAAGTGGTAGTGTAGACCTGGCCTAAGTGAGTGTGTAGTTCTTTTAAACTTACCCCAGTGGTGGCAGCCTAACTCCTAGACTCCTATATCTTATGGTTAGCTACCACTGTGAGACACACGGAGGATCATTTAGTATTTGCTAGCTTATTGAACTGAACTGTCTTTGCTGTTGTTCATTTATTTTATTGATTTTTAGTGCAGCTCTTGCTGTAGCAGCCAGCCATTTATTTACACAGAAGGATAAAACTACCCACAATGCACAGCGATTAAAAAGCCACTATCCTTTTGTCAGGAATAAAATCAAACAGAAGATAAGAGTCAGACAAAAGTTAAACCAAATATATAATGTTCTGCAGCTCACTAGACCTGGGCTCTGGCAGGGTGCCAGAGGAGTGAATTTTAAAGATTGAAAAGAGCCTCATAAGAGAAAGGTCTGACACTAGACATGGAGAGGTTCTTTTCCCTTTGCCCTTCATCTTGTGTAGTCATTTGCACTTGCTTTGCATTAGTGTAAATGATGGTACAAGCTGCAGAAGAACAGGGAATCAGGCTTGGAGTGTTTAAGCACAGGGGCTGTCAGACTGCCTCCAAGCTGAGCTGAATGCTGCAATGGGGGTATGCAGTAAAGTGATCAAGAGACAGCCTTTACAAGTCTAGCAAGTTGTTCAGTGCCCTCAGCTCCCATTGGCTCCAGCGGGAGTTGGTGCTTATCACCTTGCAGGGTTGGACCTGCAAAGAAGAGGACACCTCAGCAATGTCTTTCTTGAAGTCAACCAGACACTAATTGAAAGCCGGCGCAATACTCAGTTCATGGGCACAACATACTTGTTCACGGGATTCCTCCACTCAGGGCTCTAGGCAGTTTTCTCTGTTAGTGGAGTAAGTTTTAAATGATATAAGACACCACCTTTACCCTAAATATTAACCAAATAATCAAACAATTTCTTTAAAAATCATTTGCTGTTTCCATAATCAAAACATGAAGCCTTGTTATTAATGGAACATGAGAATTTGACAGGTACGTTCAGCAGCGCTATATTAATCACAGCATCTCAATGTTCCTGGTAAAATAATTAGTAGTAAAATGCTTGACAATCTCAGCATTTAAGTAGCCATAATTAAGTTTCCGAGGTAGTGCATCATTAAGAACAATAGGCTATGGTCACACCTATTTTAGTGCTAATGTTTCAGTATGTCTGGTGTCTGATTCAAAAACACAACAGTCATTATAAATACTTTATTGCTAAAACTTATCTTTGCAACCTGAAAGGCAAAAACTTTGTTTTTTTCAGTCGAAGCTTAGATTAGTAAAATCCAGAGAAAATTTGCAGGCAGACACAATTTTCGCCACGGATAAATCTTATAAAGGAGCCTGATCCAAACCATTTTAAGGCACTGGGGCTGCATTAGGCCCAAAGTTTGGGATCTGGGTTTGTTTCATTTGGAATGCAGAAGGACAGCAGTGACACAGTAGAGAGCAAGTGCAATCAAATCAGTGATAGCAGCTCCCAGCAACAGCATTCTTTATGGGACAAACAGAAAGTATCACAATAGAAAAATTCCATTTTTTGTGACAAGGATGGTAATAGGAATGGGAACTGGTGCAAGCACTATCCATTCTCATTACACGCAAAAAACAGTTTTCTGATGGTCTTTGGTTGCAGTACCAGAAGGCTATTATTTTTCTTTCCTTCTTTCCCCATGCCTATATGTTCTTTACTTATAGTAGAACTAATTGGGTTATGAACTACTGTCGAGATGAGTGATATAAGACAAGACGGGCCCCCGTTACAAAGTTTGGATCCACCCTTCTCCAAACCTGGGAGTGTTTGTATCCTGCACTTTGGTTTGGGCCTCTCTCTAAATGTAAGCAGAACTGTGCAAAACTAGGTGGCTCCATTTTTGTGGATTCATGCAGTATTGTCTTTGGTCCTGCTCTGTGCACATTTGCATCCCCTGAGTTTCACTTTGAGTTTCAGACTGGAATAAACATAGAACTTTAAAGTAAAACTCAGTGAAAAGGGCCAAGTTTCGCCTAGTTCCAAATGAAACCATGTGAAACTACAAACTGCCTGATTTCAATCCACAGATGAGGCCCAGTTTTGAACAAACCTTGGTCAAAGCTAAGCTTTGGATGAATCAGGAGCTAATTTCAAACTACACCTCTGCCCCGATATAACACTGTCCTTGGGAGCCAAAAAATCTTACCGCATTATAGGTGAAACTGCATTATATCGAACTTGCTTTGATCTGCCGGAGTGCGCAGCCTCCACCCCCCCCCCCCCGAGCACTGCTTTACCACGTTATATCCAAATTCGTGTTATATTGGGTCACGTTATATCGGGGTAGAGGTGTATGTGAGAATGTGAAATCAAGTTTAACGTATTTTGTGTTTTACTGCAAATGTTTTCTAAAGCTGCAGTTTTAAGTAATAATATACAGGCAGGTTTTATCTGGCCCTTGCACCAGCATACAAGGAAAAGAGAACTGTTCTCTCCATGGGGATAAACACTTCCCTCCAAAAGTTGTGGAGAAACAGGAAGGCAGCAGGCATAGTTTGGATGGTGCAGCCTGAACACCCACACTGTGTACTTGGGAGCTCAGGGAAGAAATTGGCTCCCTGAGGCACATTTCATCCTGAGCTTTCCCTTTCACATTGCAGGGCTGTGTCTAAGTGGTGCAATGTAGTCCACAGTAATAAGATCCTTGGAGTGTAAATTATAACTCTCTGGATTTAAATTATGCCAACAATGGGTTTAAACTTACTCCAGCAATGAATGGAATCTCCTTGCCTCCTTCTCAGTTGGTAAAACACAGGGCATATTAGTTGCACCAAATAAATGGAACCTGAAAGGACAAAACAATTATTAGCTGCTGAATAGTCCTATTGACAGGAATGGCGTCTGTAATGTGCTTTGTCTTCAGATTATATTCACTATTTAAAGCAGCCAACAGGCATTGATGCCATTTGTATGTAAAATATGCATTTCATATATGTGCAAACATCTTTCCATATAAGGTTAGAAAAACCTTCCAGTTATTTTAACCATATAAAGTTACCTGGACAAATCTTAAGGCTTCTGTGGGCCAAACTCTGCTCTTAGTTACGCCAATGTAAATCCAGATCAACTGGATTGAAATCAGTGGCATTCCTCCAGATTTATACTGGTGTGAGTACACAATTGGGGTTTATCCACTTTTGGAGCTATTACAGGTGATGTATTATTTAAATGAAGGAAGTGCTGCATACCGCTTCCAGTAACAAAATGCAAAATCCTTTGGCCCTTATTATCTTGACAGTTGCATGCAGACAACTCCATGGAGAATGACAACTCTACATTTAGTGTGCGTAGTGTTGTCAGGTTTAAAAGTGCTAGATCTCTACCCAGGTGGTAAATTGCACAGGGCACTGTTGGCTTTTTGGTGAGATTTGACACATTATCTATAGAATAACACCGATAGTTCGTGGAGTGTCCCCATGGTGTGAGTTCACACCACTTAAGCAAATCTGTTACACTTTTCATGTAATGGTGCTTTAAGTGATAGCACTGTTTGTGATCTCTAAGGGTAAAGTAGCTAATGGAAAAACTTTGTTCATGAGTTGAAGAACACTCAAAATGTGCTACTGTTTGGGTTATTCTGGGCCAGCTTATTACATCTTTAATTTTCTGCTAAGGTCTGATTTACTGAGGGCATTGGCTGTAGTGAAAACAGTTGATCTGGAGATTGACATTATTGATAGATTCTTAGTACCGTATCTCATGATGATAGTCACTATGCCATAAAAACACATCCCACACTGAGATTAAATGTTGGTGGAGCTGTCAGGAGGTGGAATATGTTTCACTCTGTCCCATAGAGTGGGCTCAGTGTTCCTTCTGGTAAAGTCACAGTATTGTCAAGCTGGAAAGATAAATTGGAGTAAGCCATGCAGAATTGTAGGTAAAATTCTTGTTTAATAATATAAAATCCTCTATGAGAGGTAAATGTTGAACAAAGCCACAATGAGTATTTTAATGTGCTTTTTTGAATAAATATTTGCCCTCTGTGTTTATTACCATGGAGCCATCATCACCTTTTCTTCCCAGGCAGGCAGGAAAAGATCAGAATAGCTTGGTTTTCATAGTAATAAGTGATAGACAGAACACTCCCTTTGAGATGGTAAATCTTCCTGTTTGTCTATAGGGGATAGAGGTCTATTTCAAACTGGTTCCCTGGAGATACTATATTCCAATTTTCTATTTACAAAGTCCATAGCATATAAGAGTATTTGTTATGTGCCACTTAATAGTATGATTAGAATTCAACTGTAATGTACAAATGTTAAAAGAAATGGTATTCAAGCTTCACTGTGGAGAAACTCATTTTCTTCCAGGCACAGGCGTCAAACAGTAAATCAAATGTTTCTCATTAGATTCTGTGTTAAGCATGTTGCCAGTTGAACAGTATTGCATGCACTGGTGCATCAGTGAATGGCATATTATTCCAGAAGCTTCTGTTTATTAGAATAGATGATACAGGGCTAACCTTGTTGTCAGCCTTGTTGTATATTATGTTTGCACAGACACATTTGTTTATAATCTGAAAATGTAGGTGGTTCAGAGGCTTAATTATTTTTAGGGGAATGGAGTTTAATAAGCATTAGCTGCTTCTACCACCCACTCTTTAGTGGAAGAAAAAAGAACACTTGACTATAATTAAAGACAATCTGAGTGAAGCTTCCTTCTAATGTACACACTGTCAAGTGACAGCATGATACCATTTCCATGTTCAGTTAATATTTTTAAGACAATTAATGCATTTGCCTATGTATTTTCTATCAGTCATACAAACATTAGTTTTCATGTTGTTTTTCCCCCCCAGATGTACATCCAGACAACAACACTTACTGTCTCCATGAGTTTAAGTGCTTCAGTATCTCTGGGCATGCTCTACATGCCCAAGGTTTATATTATCATTTTTCATCCAGAGCAGAATGTTCAAAAACGGAAGAGGAGCTTCAAGGCTGTTGTGACAGCTGCCACAATGCAAAGCAAACTGATCCAAAAAGGAAACGACAGACCAAATGGCGAGGTCAAAACTGAACTGTGTGAAAGTCTTGACACCAACAGTAAGTCATCTGTAGAGTTTCCCATGGTCAAGAGTGGAAACACTTCCTAATAGATGTACGTTCGCAAGAATGCATTCACTTTTAATTGTAAATGTTGTTCTTTTCTTTGCTTGTACTGCATGAATGCAGAGATGTGTCAGAATTCAAGTACCTTTGAGCAAAGGTTTGCCTACATGCAAATCTTTTTTATGTGTGACAACCGGTGATTACAAAAATAAACACATTTTGGAAAACACACATCTTTTTAAATGATGTGGCCTAGCTAGCACTAATTTGTTGCATCGTGTTTTACTATGGCAGTCTCATTATATACTGACACTTCTGAGGATATATTTAGGTGAGTCATTTTCAAGACTTTTGAAAAATATGGCTTCACATTCTACATTATTTTTTAAACTACAACTAGACATGGGTGAAAATATTCCTTCCTTAACCTTCTACCCTGTACTAGAATTTTTTGTATAACTTGTGCATTTCCTATGATTTATCTGTAGTCCTAAAATGGCTGCCTGCCTCCACCTGGTGAGGACTTTTGAAAAAAAAAAGTACCGCATGATCCCATCACCCAAAATCTTTGCTACAGTTTTTTATTTTGTACAAACAGTAGTGGATCCCTTTTTAAATTTACAAAAATTTAACAATAGTATCTATGTTCCAAGTGTTCATGCACATATAGATTAGACAAATCTATTTTTAGATTTACCAACGGATAGAAGTGGGATGAGAATATTTTCCACATCTGGAAGGTCTTTGAATCCTGGCACATCTCTTAGGAATTGTTAAATTATTATAACTTCCATACAGCAGCATGTCATAAATAGAGCTGAGTGAATGTTTTCTGTACTCTGCCTTTTTCAGTGACAATTGCAGATTCAGTGACACCAAAACATTTAGTGAATTCATACTGGCTTTGCCAAAATTGTTTTGGAAATTTAAAAAATCGCCAAAAAAATTCAAACTATTTCATTTTGACATTTTCTAAATGGACCCTTTTGATTTTTTAGTTTGAAATGACTTTTCATTTGAACATTTCCTTTAATTGTATTTTTAAAAAATCATAAACATAAAATGGTCAAAACTGAATTTTATCAAAATATAATGTTTCATTCAGCCCCAAACAAATTTTATTTTATTCTTTGATTCACCAAAAATTTTGTTTGTCAGGTCAACCTAAAATATTGTTTTTAATTTTTTTTTTTTTTTTGGAATTGCCAGCAAATTGAAAAATCCATCTTTTGCCCAACTCTAGTAATAAAGCCTGATTAACTGTACTTCTGAACAAAAAAATAAAATAAAATTTTTTTGAATAAAGCCAATGATTGCCCTTTCCCAAATCCAGTGGTAATAGAACATAAGTTTCTATGTTGGAGTTAGAGCTTCAGTGAAATGGTGTAGTTCCTGTTATGGTTAAGGACTAATTCCTCCCATTATGCTGCAAATAGATCCTCTAGAGTTTTCTGAATTATTATTACTCCTGAGGTTTAAGGAAAACTGAATAATAATATTTTGCTTATACACACCGACAAACCACTGCACATAGGATTGTGAAAGTTATTAGACCAAATCCTTTCACATGGAACTCCTAATGAATTCAGTCAGAGTTCACCAGAGTGAAGTATAGTGTAAAAAGTGAGTGAGGATCTTAGATTTGTTCCATAACTCACTTGTTGGAGGATACTGGGTACAGATTATCTTTTAAAAATTCAATAATTCGCCTGCTAAACTTGTGGCCATTCAGAAGTGTGTAACTACCAGATGAAGCAATGGAGCCACTGCCTTTGGATTTCCATAGTTTCATACTACAACCTATACCAGAGGGGGAAATGATGATGAAATTCTCTGTAGATCAGATGTCAGCGTGTAAATATGAAAACCCCTACATCTCTTACAATTCTTCATAAGTCACCAAAAGAAAATAGAGGGAGGGGGAAGAAAGAGAGTTTCCTTGCTGAGTTGGCAAAATGATCAACATCAGAGAAAAAGGTCAAATATAGTTCCACAATGGGGTGCAGAAGGAGATGGTAAGAAAGCCCTGTGTACCTGAGCTTTATCAGCTGTACCTAATGAAGAAGAAATGCTGTGTCTGGTATTCTTTTAACTATGACTATGCATAATTCATGAAAACAGCTGCCACTGGAAGCAAGTCTGCTTTCTCCAGCAGTGTGACGCACGCAGGGAAGTATCAATTTACCATATTCTAAACCTGATTTAACACTAGCACACCTAGATAATTTTCAAGCGCCTCAGTAGTACATCTCTTCAAGGCTTTGATCCATGTACTGTTATGCTCCATAGGCAAGTATTCAAAAAAATCAACAAATTCCCATTCTAGAGAGCTAGCCTCATGTAATTGAGCTGGCTTGGCTAAAAGAATGGGCTATTAGGTTTTCAAAAAACATACTATATCCGTTAGATTTTGTTAACTTTTCTCTTTTCTGCCAAAATAACTATTGTCAAAAAGTGTTTGAGGCTGTAGTGAAGGATACATTAAAATAAACGCTTTCCCCTAGATCAGCTGTAATAACCCCCAAAATACAGAAAAATGTCTCTTCGAATTGACACCTGTAACCCAGTCTCAAATTGTTATTAGGTGATCACAGTTCCAGCATGTAAGTCTTACCTAGAGAATAGCAGGCTGTCACTCGCACTCCAAAAATGGAGAAAGTTACAGAATGTATGAAATCAGGGTATCACTAGCACTCCAGAAATGGAGAGAGAAGTTTCCCGCCCCTTACCTAACCGACGATGCTGATGCTGATGACAACAACAACCACAGCTTACTACCAAAGCACAAACGGGAAGAAGTGAATTTGTTTGCTGATTTTTGGGAGGCATCAAGGGTGCATTCTGGGATTTCTTATTTAAAGATATGCAGCCAAATTCTGATTCCATTTATATATATGCTAAAGTAAAGGGAGCTGTTTGCATGTGTCTGAGGACAAAATTTGCCACTTGAAGAGGCAGGAGGGCAACAGAGAGAAATCAGTAGGCACAATACATCAGGATAACTACAAAAGGATTGTATTCAACTGCTGTAAAACATGGACTTTGATGAAGCTATACCAAATTATACCAGTTCAAGATCTGACCCAGAAGGCTTGATTCAGCAGCCTAGATGCAGAAGTAATTCCTGTTGAAATCAAAGGAAGATTTTTCTTTCAAAAGGTCTGCAGGATCAGGTCCAAAGCAGGGATCAGGTGTGCCTGATCAGTCACCAGCAGGGAGTGAGCAGACAGGGCAGAGTGAAAGTCAGCATGTGGTCAAGTGAACACTAGGCAATAAACAGAGGGACAAGGAGGTTAATACCAGACAGTCACCATATTTGGTTTTCTTTTCTCCTACTCTTCTCATTCTGATGATTCCTCTGACAAGATCTGTATTATTCTGGCTGTCTTTCTCAGGTGCCTTTTTGTTTTTTTCATTGTCCTGTATATTTTGATTTTTTCCATAGTCCACCTTTTTATTGTTCTGTTCTCTGTTCTTCTGCTTGCTCTCTGCCTTCTTCTTTTTCTTAGTGTCCTTGTTTCTGCTGCATTTTCTCCCTCACCCCGCTCTTTTCTGGTGCTTTGCAATTCCTTACTCGCTCCCCCCATACACACTTTTTCTCTCTTTAAATTCTTCTTCTTCCTATGGTTTTTATCCACTGAGTGTTGTTTATATTTTACTCACTACAGCCATTTACTCTTTTGTTATTTTTCCCTTTTGTCTGCCCTTATTCTGTGCTTTAGCTCTGTCCTTTATATCTTTTTTTTTTTTTTTACATTTCTTGGGTCCATCTCTTTTAATCTATGCCCCTACTCTCCTGTGCTTGACCATTCACCAATCATTTTTTTCCTGTCAAAATCTCTCTTCTAGGCATGTGCTGAAATCCTGGCCCCGTTGAAGTTAATGGCAAAACTCACAGATTTCAATGGGGCCAGGATTTCACCCATAGACTGTACCAAAGCCATTTGCTTCAGACAGCAGAGAAAAAAACGCAAGATAAATTACACACTACTCTTGAGATCTGGGAGTAGAACCCTTATCCTTCCGTTCTATAAAGGAGAAACCACTACTGCTTGAGCTAAATGAGATCTCTCTGTCTGCAGTCATGTACAAAACTTGTATATTACAGCATCACTCACTGGAGTTTAGTTACTGCCTAACAGGGCTCCCCAGCTTGATTAAACAGGAGTTCTTAGTCTTCATTCAACCTCTATTCATCCAAATGCACCAGACCTTTGCAGAGAGCAAGGGATTACCTAGGGGCTTAAATGATCTCTGTTGAAGCTTCCATGCTACTCCCATTAAGGGCAGGCCAAGCAGTCCTCTACTTTAGCTTCTTTTGGGCTGGGATCAAACACATTGTGCCTAACAGAGTACTCTAGATGGCTCATATGAGAATCTTCTTCTCCCACAACAGGTAATAGTGAATCTCAGGTGCCCCTCACCCCTCGTCCTCTTTCCAGGCACCAAGGGGCCAGGTATTCCAGGCCTTTCCAATGCTGATTGTTTCCATTAGCTTCTCTGTTCAGCAATCACTTGCATCAGCTGATTCACTATCACGTTCTCTGTTAGTCCCCCCCCCCATTCTTTTGTGTTTCATTCCTTTGTTTCTTTCTTCATGTTTGTTTACTTTTCTGCCCTGTCTGTTTGATCTTTGTGATTTCATTCTCTGTTTATGTTCTGTGTTGGTTTATGACCCAAAACTCCATCTTCTGTTTTGTTTGTGTTTACAACAAGCTCTTTCTGGCCTTCTAGAAAGTTGCAGTGAACTGAAGCAAGCTGTGGGAATCAATATGGGCCCATCAGTAACTTGGTATTCAGTAGAGAACTATTGAGTCAAAGCCACTAATATATTCCCAGTCTATTTTCACAAAGCTAATCCTGAATATTCAATGCTAATTTCCATCATTGGCATTGCCTGGTAAAACTGGAAGAAAAAATACTCAAACAAGTATGGAGGGGTTCTATGCCCTTATTTTATCCTAATGATGCCACTGATAAACATCTAGTAAGAAGAAGAAATGTGTAGGTTTTGTAATACAGTATGAAAATAAAATAAATGATA